GCGTAGACAGAGTTCGTCTCATGTTGGCAGCCAGCTGTCCAATGGAATGGCTAGCGGCCGTAAAATTCGAAATATAGAGGGTTACGCTTGTTTGCGTTCTGTCCCTTTAACCGTTTCTTATTTAAACGAGCTAGGGGCCCATTACGCAGCAGCCTGGCTTACGTTGTTGGTAGCAATAACAACGAAAGCGGTAAGAACAGACAAATATATTAGTAACGTGATTTACGTGTGAGCCGAACCTCGCCTACCGCCGCCATGTTTTTACAACGATAAGGTGTAACGAAAATTGGTGCAGACCTTGTGCATCAGACTTTTCCATACGTTTTTTCCGTTACTCTGCTTGTCTTCGTGGTCGACGCAAGCATCATTATTATCATTAAAACCGTTGTTGTTGTAGATGTAAGCGGCGTATGTTCTCGGCCACTTCCTCTAAGGGCCGTGCTCTTTCTTCAGGAGTCAAGCCTACGTTGCGGGTTGTTATTTGCCTATCTTAAGGCCGCAACAACCACATTAGTAGTCGCCGGCACGACAACGACAATAACGTCAGCCGCAAGATGTCGCCGGCAGTAGAAGTAAGTGAAGAAGATACAGCAACAAAATCGGTACCCGGGCGGCCACAACAACGACTAAGGCGCAAACCAACCACCTGGACTCGGCCGCGTTCGACTTACGTTCTAACTCAAGTCGTCTACAATCAAACGCTATCGCACTGTTGCTATCTGCCGTCGCTACTGTCAATCAGCAAGGGCCAAAAGGGCCACATTACCTCTGCAGTAGCTATCACAGACATAGCGACGCACTAACAAGCGCACACAAACAAAAATAGAGACGAACGAAGAACACTATTACCCTACTTTGGCCCTCTGATACGTTAAGCATTCGCCGGTTCTCGTTTGTCGCACTCCGTTAGCTGGATCCATTGGTCCGTGATGGTTTAGTCCGACAGCGACCTGGGTCCTCTCACGGTTTCGGCCGAGCCTGCCATAGGACGCTAACAAGCATTGACTGCTACTGTGGTCATACTATTTGCAACACCAACAGCAGTTTTCCTGGGTAGATATACAGAATACTTCCCCGCGACACTCTTTCGCTACGGGTAGCGGCGAACGAAGCGAGAAACGGGACAACCGGGACTCGAGGCAGCAACGCAGGAAACTTAGTAGCCGCAAAAATAGCATCAGTATCAGTAACTAAAGCATGATGAGCGAATCAGCTATGTATAATAAAACTGAAGATAACAGAAACACCGCTCGGAATAACGAATACGGCTTTTACCGTGAATTAATCCGCTTCTGTATGGTGGAGTATGGGTAAAGGTTGCAAACCATGGGAAACAGCTTGCTCTAGCATCTGACCAACGATGCTTAGCGGCTTTCGATCATATCCGCGATGCAGAAGAACTTGTCCTTGCAAAAAATTTACGACGGACAACGCTTAGAATAGCGCACGAGCCAACGTAGCGAACGTTGGGATTGGCAATAGATACAACAGCTTTCGACTTATGCTAGCACAAGCGAACGGTATTGATACCCCCAGTACTTTGATTTAACGATTTGCCCCCCAATAGACAGTTGCACGACGAAAAATATAGAAGCTTCTTCCGATGAAAAGCCCAAAAGTACAATGTCCGCTAACCAGCTGCCAGAAAGACCTGTTACAAAGCTTAACTTATATACGGAAGCATCTATATTTTAGTATGTATGCTTCTTTTGGCACGCGTTTGTTTGTCTGAACGTGCGTACAATGCAGGAAACAAACCACGTTATGGTGGCTCCATTTATTTATAAACGAATCTTCATCACTTAGGTAGTCAGTCAACCAGTCAATTATGTAACAACTACGGCAAGGAAGAACAGGAAAGTGACAAATCAATTAAAAGCAAAGCTAAGCAAGGCAAAATCAATATTTGGAAACTCTTGCTCCTGGATCCGTTTTGAAAGGCGCGGGTTCGAAAGTCTCTATGATGGCTGCTGCTGGACCATCAACTGGCTTGCCCCTCGCAGAGGGTGGAAGTCTGTATTCGATCAGATATGGCAGATCACAAGAAGGAACTCAGAGTGGGTAGCACAAGCAGCCGGGAGAGGGAGAACCCGAATCGATACGCCAATTTACCAAGAGCCGATCTACGCTGCTCTGTCTATCTGCTACGAGTCGAAGTTCGCCGATTTAATGGCTATTTGGAAAGGGACAAATTGGAATCTATTGTAAAAGGGCTGCTATATAACATGGGCCCACATCTAATAAGATTAGGAGCATGTCTAAAGAAGCTATGAAAAAAGCAGCAAAAGCACACACTACGTTCATTTGTTCAGAAGCGTTATCGTTAACTCTGTTGAACAGGGCAACGAGGATGGCAACGAACTCGCTGGTCACTGTTGCCTGCAGCATAATGAGGGCTCTATACGGTACTACGCTAGGGCCCTGTGATAGCTGTGTGATCGACTATCAGGTATTCTGTTCGGCAGAGGGCGCCAAATAGACAACTATCACCTATACAACCCTTGCTGTTTGAATAAGACGCCTTTTACCCGTCAAAGTGACCGGGTAGCCAATTCACTTGCTGCCGTGGCAATGGTGGCGTCTAGACGGTGTGCGAAGCCGACATAGTGAGCGCTTGTGACCAGCGTCTTTTTGATGTCCGTGGTGTTTGTCAGCACTGTTCGCTACGGTCGCCTAACTTGTGCTATCCCAAGTCGAAAGGGACCTCCTCCGTGGAGGCGTGTGGCCTTGTTTGCCGGTCCTCTTTCGGTCGCTGGCCGTGGTGGTGTTGGTAGTGGTGCTTCCGCATGAACGAACGGCAGAGATATGTAGGCCCCGCCCCGGCCAGGCCCCAAAGGGTTCCGCCGCCACTCGGGCACGAACGTTGCTGTGCACGGTCGGCGCGGCTAACGCAGGCCAAGACGAGCCGGCTGGCGGCGAGGGAAGGCCGAAGGAAAGGGCATCACCGGCCGAGGAGGGGCCTACGACGAAGGCCTGCTGCGGCCACCGTCGCTACCACCGCCACTGGTGTCGTCGTCGCGGCCGTCAACGCAACTCGGCGGCGGCGGCGGCGGCGGCGGCAGCAGAAAAACCCAGATTGAAGACGAGATAGTTAGGATGCGGCTGAAAGCGCCACGGTCCGCATAGGCCGAGTCCGGACCGAGAACAGCGCAACGAAAGTTCTGAACGAGCAGCTGGACAAGTGAAATGAGAGACGGATAAGATTCGAGAGAGAAGGCTGACGCAAAAAGAGAGCTAAAACTCATATCAGTCCACGCATTATCCGTCCTAGTGGGTCCTTTCCATTCACAGCCTTTGTCTGGAAGAATGCAGGAACGATTACGGAATTCACCATTAGTGAACGGGAGCGACGTATTAAACCATGTAGTACAGATCGTACAAACACCAAAAGATGGTATTTGGAAGGGCGTGCAACAACAGAGCCCAAGGCACGGAAGGAAACGCTTCGCCTTCTCGTCGGACTCCCTTAAGAGAATCAAAAACGCTGTTTCTTAGTGGAGCCCGATGACCACATATTGCGTGGACTAGCGACACGCTAAAGATGATTAATAAGGCAAACAATTAACGGTTATTTAACTATTGTGCTTCTTGCTGCTGTTCTTGCCGACTTAGCAGAACTGTTTTCTACTGCATTCGTGTCGATAAGAACAATTGCACGATGGACAAAAAACGATAGCTCCGTACCTGCCAAGTACTTTCAAAGGTAACCTAAAAGCTAAGGTAGTAACCTTAACGACCCGTAAAACGCAAAAGAAAAGTGTAAGGGTTAGCGATTGTTACCTACTATACATGCATAAATATCCCTATACGATTCAGCGCGGCGCAGTTACCTCGAGGCGGCGTGACACAGAAGCGGCGTCGGTATTTGAGAACGCGCCGTGGACAAAAAAAGCTGAACGTATTGAATGTGTGTTGTTACGTATTAATGATAGGGGCGGTGGAGTGATTACGAAGATAGGGTCATCAGCATAATTAGCAGCAGCACGTTGAGAGGGAGGGGTGCGTTTACCTTTCTTTTCTATTATATTTTACGTTTAAACTGACTGCTAAGCCAGCTTGCGTGCGTAATACTGCAACTCGAGTGTCCCTGACTCACTTGACGGCACGACGCCAGTGGCAGCAGTGACGAGTTTTTGCTGCGAATATCTCCGCTGGCAGCCCAGGCACGCCTGTTTTCTCACCGTGCGTACCTGTCAGTGTCCTTGCATCGGGGGTAGACGGTCACTTCTGAGGTGCGTAGAGCGAGAGTACCAGCAGGAGAGCTAAATGTTGTGCTAACCGTATCGGCTAGTTGCGTACGATGTTAGTAATAGCGGATAGAGCCGTCGCGCACGGTAGAAAACAATGAAAGCAGCGTCACAGTTAGCTAGACAGGATAACAACAGACGAAAAGGCGAAAAAAGGCCAATAGAAGATAACGCGAGCCAATGCATAGTGTACGCGCGATGGCTTACTCACACCATCAGAGTGGATTAAGCACTGCTATAGGGGCTGTGTAGTATAGAAACAAGGTAAAAACAGCACATAACCTTTCTGTGTGTGTGTGTGTGTGTGTGCGTGCGTGGTGAGCCGAGAGCCGCTTTGACCTTTGGTGAAGAGATCATTGAAAAAGAAAGACCGCCGTGGCGCAACACTGCGTAACGGTTACGTGATCACGGCCAGCGGTTTGGAAAACAATCGACAGCAATGGATGTTGCTGCTGCTGTCGATAGTGATCCTGATAATGATGATGATGCTATGGATCCTGTCGCGATGATCCTATCCCATATGAATCCCGTATGGTCGAGCGGGGCTAAAACAGCTCTCAGCATGGCCGAATGGCTATACACACACACCCACACACACAGATGATATACTAATATACCCTAGATTAGCATAACACCGCCGACTACTGGAGAGCGTGAAAATATAGCGTCGAAGGGCGGCATACCAGGCGTTTTGTCGGGGTAGGGATGAGAAAACTTAGGAAGTGATCTCAATCGTCGACCCAGATGCAAGATATACATTGTCATAGCTAGACAAAACATGCTGGGAATCTGTACACATTTGCTAGTTGGAACTAAGAACTGGTTACTTCGCTTACATTAGGAGACAGACGAACGATTGCATAAGGTGAGTTCTAGAAATTTACCGAATAAACGTACTTTCAATTAGTTTAATCCTACTCGATCACATCTACGGAGACGTACGTCGATACGAATGCTTCCTGTTGTGTGGCTAGATACCGTTACGAACGTACGTTGCTTTATGGGGACGTGACGGCCGCAAATGTGTGCTTTTGTTCTAAATAGTTAGAGCCTAATGTTGAAGGACGGACATCTACTAAAAACGTTCAGAATTTACCGTTTCGTTACGAAGTTCTAGATAAACTACCTGCCTTACTATATGCTTCAGTCGACGCCAATGCATGGAGCTACGGCTGTGAATAAATAGTGGCACATTTTACGTAAGCCTGTTTATTTTGTGACGGATTATCCTGGGGACGGTTAACTTGACGCCTAACCTGATACTTAGGCATATATTTTATGGAGTCACTAGTTGTGGTGCATTCAAGTTCCGTTATTATCCTGCTGCTATGATATTTCAAGTCTACATTGGAATTGCTGTAGCTGAAAATACCGGCGCAGGTATACCCTGACCTTAGCATATGGTACAGTAGATTTTCATAGGTTCTATTCTCCATAGAAATATGCTGCCGACTAGCTCAAACCGGTACGATCGCTGGCACCAACGCAACGAGTGACGCACCTGTTTCCATCTTTCACCAAAACTATTCCGCAATTTTCTCTTCCTTCCCTTTCGTTACAATATTTCTGTATCTTTTACGATCTTATAACCGTGTGCCATACGCTCAACAGCGCAGCGCACCAGCAGCCTGCAGCAGCGCTCGAAAAGTCGCCGCGCCTTGAGGGGGGCGTAGGCGTGCTTTCGGTGGGAGGTAAGATATCCCGCACACTTTACATCTTTCCGCATTCCGATGCTTTTTGCAGCCGATCTGCTATCAGGCTGATATATCGCGATACTATTTTCGCCGGATGCAATCGCAACGCTGGTGCTGTGACTCTCTATCGGAGTTTTATCCTTGCTGCTCCTTAAACACCCTATATCGACAGAACATGGACCCACTCATGCATGTATCTCTGTCTAGCAATGTCTACTGCTCTACTGTTCGTAGACTGATGTCAGCTCCTTCATAGCCTACCCAATTCGAGCTTCTCACCCGGGCTGAACGGGTACAACCCCAGCTCCGAGGCTGAGAGAGGCCGCAACCAAGAGCGGGTTAAGAAGAGTTGGGGATGATTGCTGCTATTGCCGCTGCTGCTTCTCGTTGTGCTCGTGTAAAGGAAGCCGAGCCCCATATGTGCCGTATGTGCTGGAATGGGGAAGTAAAGGATCGAGTTTAGGCCAAGGACGTTCGTCGCTTGTCGCTTCTCGTATCGGCTCTTTCGAGACGATACACTCTCCGCTATTTATCTGCTCGTAATGGTGCTGATTCAACCTGATAGGGTTGATTGCTGGCTGCTTAAGGGTTGGCGCCGGCCGGGAGTGGCCTGTTAGCGAATGCCTAAATTCTGTGGCCTCGTCGGTTGTTGAGTGTCGAATTGACGAAGTTACTTTAAGATAGAGGAGGCGAAAAAGAAAGGAAGATAACGTACGAAGGTATTTCTCCAAACGCGAAAGAGATATCTGTTTAGCCGTTCGAGTATGCGTGTCATAGAGCCGTGTTCGTGTGTGTACAGCCTTGTCGACTTATGCGCCTTTGTGTGTGTGTGAGTGTGTATGTGTACCATTTAACACACTATACGACAGCAAGGAGACCGAGGCAGCCGCGCCCTAGAAGAACAGGCGCGCATGGTGATGTCGGCAGAAGTTATTTTAGCTCCGTTACGGTCCTGCATCGATGTAGTGCTGGTGATCAAGTGAATAGGCTAGAAGAAGTTGAAAAAGGGTTGAAACAGACCTGGTAACAAAGCCAGCAGCGCTATCCAAATAGTTGCTCTGTGAATATCCTGGCGCTTCGTAGACTGCTCCGCTCGATGGACGAATGGATGGATCAGGGAACAGCCTCGTAGATTCTGCCATCAATGGCTGTCTGATGCTCGACGACAGGTGGGGAACGAGTTTTTAGTGCTGTTGATCTTGATGCGTTATCTTTACCTGATGTACTGTTTGCGTGTATATGTTTCGAAGGATGTCTGGGCGTCCGTGTGCGTTTGTATATACAGCCAGCGGGAAAGCTATCACAAAAGAAAGGTAGAGGAAAGAACGGGTAGAAAGGGCCCAGACGATCGAATTCTCCAGGTTCTACACTACGAACGAGCGGGATCGACGCGAGAGAAGCATCAGCGACAGGTGGTTGGCCTGATTGAACTATTACAACTTTACGCTCATTGTAGTATTATAGGCAACAACCAAACAGGCCGAGTTAACATCAATATAAAGCGATTTAAGAAGTAGGTCATCGTGAAATGGGGTCTAGAGAAGCAAATTGAGAGAAGAGACATTTCCTTGATGTTTAGTACGACTGTAAATGTTTATATAAACATGTGTCTGTTTTTCTGAAGATATAAAATGGCTACCAAAAATAAGAGGACCGTTTGTCAATAATGTATTGTATATAAATTCAATAGAAGCTCAAAATATGCATATTATTTATATTTAAACTATTCATTGGTGAACATTTCAACTATCCGTAGATTTAATGAAGAAATATTCCGTAATTTTGACGGAACAGAATATAGAATTAATTAAGAAAATAAGAATAATAATAATAATGAGAGAGAGAGAGAGAGAGAGAGAGAGAGAGAGAGAGAGAATGAACGAATCTACAACAACAAGCCAATACGATGCGAGACACTATGCATAGCTCTAACAGTTTACGAAGTATCCTCATGCCTGACGCATTTTTGGATCATTTAGTCTTAATTTTAATACGTCGGTAGCTCGTGAGCTCTTTTCGCTTGATATTCGTTTCTAAAAACCCACACAGGTTCTCTCAATGAGTTTCGTATCCCGTTCAACACTTTACGGCAAATAACGGCTAGACAATAATCAGCTGTGAGCTACCTTATGTGAGCCTAATACATGTACATAACGATGGAAAAGAGGATATATTTAGTATCATTTTCTGAGACTACATGAAGGGCAGGTGGAAATAGATATGATCACGACATCTTTGTAGGCATATATTTTTGTCTAGAATGTGACTGGCTGTTCATAACAGTTAAAAAAAAAGACACTCGGCAAGGGAGGAGGCCTTTGAGGCCAGGCGCCGCGATCGGACAAACGTTTGAACTGAGGTTGCTGTTGGTGTTGCCAGTTTTCGTTTCAAGGTTTTCGACCCCGTCCCAGATCTATCCCCGCCCAGCTGGGCAACTCGCCGATACTCTTGGCGAGTTCTATTTGCGAGTGGATAAGCTGGGATGCGGGGGTGTATGGCCTTGTCCTGTTCTTCCTTCTTATCCGATTAACTGAGTAAAAAGCACAGAAGAGAATAGACGCCGAAACAATGTAGGAACCCAGCCAGGAAGCAAGCATGCATGCATGCACGCCGCGCTGACCTAAATCCACCACTAGGACGAAACGCTGAAACGGAGTTCGAATTATCCGCCTCCTACGCAACCTCAGAACCATAGCCAGCTTTATCGTATTTCTCGACCGATTTGGCCCCCTTAGAGGCATAGCAACATACACTGCCATGCATGGTCGTCGTCGTCGTGTTTGTTGGCGGCAACGGCGCGTTTATTGGTCACCAGCCATCATCAGGACAGAGATATCTAATATTGCTACTCTACTGTTCGATGCCAGACATCGGCAATGACGCTTTGACACTGACATCGGCCGCCTACCCACGCATTAAGGGCTACTGGACGAGCAGTCTCGGGCGAAAACTCCGTCGATAGCCTGCGAGGGCAATGAGTGCAACGGGGGCGAACAGTAAGAAGTAATGAGTCTGACAGACATGAATGGCCTTCGGAAGAGTCGACTAGCTACGACAACAATAACAAAGCGAAATCATTCGGAATAATATGTGCGGGCCACCGTCGTACCAACAACCACAGCAGACATGCCGGTCGTAGCATGAATGACTGACACAGTCAGCGTCAATGGAAAACGCAGAGTCGTCCGTGCATCGACGCATTGGCTGGCGACCAGCGGCCTGGAAAGCATCAGCCCTGTCTATAGACAGTGCGGCCATACCAACCTCATCTGTGCAAACGCTTCCAAGAAAATTAGTGCAGTGCAGGCCAAACGAAAAGTAAAAACCAAACAGGAGAAGCATTCTGCTTTGCCGGCTAGCTAGTCATGGTCGTAGAACTGAATTGCTCAGAGTTGAACACTGCGCATGGCTAGATAATACTAGCAATTGATAAGCAGCCAGCAGTGGCGACGGCGGCGGCCGCAGCAGCAGCAACGAATCGTAGGGGTATACGCTACAGAGGTTGTATTGAAGAAACTTTTGGATGAGCGAATCGGATGCTGTCTATATCGCTTGCTTCGTTGACTGCTTCGTTCGTCCATGCTTACTGGTGGAAGTGGGTAGGCTAGATAACCCTGAATAGTGATCCTCGATCCTTGAAAGGAGAGCGTTGCTATTGGCGCTTTTGGTGGAGCTGACAAGGAGGCGAAAAAGAAAAAGCGGGGGTGGTACGAGTATAGTCACGGCTGCGGCTGGGAAGCGGCGGCGGAGTAGCAGTAGCGGTAGAGTCGTGGTGGAGAGAAGAACAACTCAAATAATTTAAAATTAAGGGTTATTTTATGGCCCCAAGGGTGTGTCGCGCGGGACTACTCTTGCGTGCTACTCCTTCGGCCGCGATGGGGTGGGGTGGGTGGCTCTTTTTCCGCTGGCGCTGGGTGGGGTGTCCAACATGGCATAGCCAGCAGCATTGTTAGGCCGTCCGGTTGAGTCAGTAAGGCGCTCAGTGGCCTATTTACCCGCTAGCTAGACACTCGTTCCGTAAAGGCTAGAGCACAGCGTACACCCCCTCGGCTATACTCTCAGCAGCGGTAGTTTGGCGATTTTGGCGGCATGTGCCTAAAAGTCTACTACAAACCTATCGAGGAAGAAGAACTGATCGAATCGGCTGGCGCACACGCACACACTAACTATA